TTTTTTTTCTGATGAAGGGTCTAGGCCCGAAACGTCAGCCTTCCTGCTCCTATGATGCTGCTTGGCCTGCTGTGTTCATCCAGCTCTACACCTTGTTTTGACAGTCACATTGTTTCCAGGTGAAGGGAGGAGGTACTAGATACGCTGTCTGTTGTCAAAGTTGACAAGACTCTAGAACCAGATGAAATATATTAAAGAATAGTGAAGGTGGAGAACGATTACAGAGACAGTAACCATCATTTTCTAATCTTACTTAGACTCGTGAGTGATGTCAGGGACTGGAGAACTGCAAATGTTACACCCTTGTTTAAGGAAAGGATAAAAAGATAATCCCAGGAAAATTAGGCCAGTCAAAGCAATCTTGGATGATTGAGAAGCTTCCAAAAGCAATAATTGAGGGAAAACGTAATAGTTACTTGGGCAAATCTGGGTGATGAAAGCCAGCACAAAATAGTTAGGGGCAAATCATATTTAACTAACTTGTGTATTTTTTGATGCTGTCAATGTGGTCTACATGGACTTCCAAAAGGCATCTGACAAAATGCCACACAGACTTATCAGCACATTGGAATTCAAGGAAATAATAGAGATGATAGCATAATGGATACAAAATGGGCTGAGAGACAGGAAACAGAGATCAGGGGTTAATGATTGTTTTCTAGACTGAAAGAAGGTTTACAGAGGAGTTCTTCCGGAGTTCGTATTAGGGCCTTTGCTCATCCTAATACAGACTGATGTTCTTGGTGTACAGGGTACAATTCCAAGTGTTTTGGTCTGTATGAAGTGCTGTGAACCATGAGAAGGATAGTGCAGAACTTCAAAAGGTCCCTAGGCTGTAGACTCAACTGGATTTGCCACATAAACACAGTGGTGACAAGAGCAGATCAGAAGCTAGAAATTTGCAATGAGTAACTCACCTCCTGATTCCCAAAGCCTATTCACCATCTACAAAACACAAATCAGGAGGGTAATGGAACACTCCCCACTTGCCTGGATGGATACAGCCCCAAAACACTCAAGAAGCTTGACTACATCCAGGAAAAAGTGGCACACTTGACTGGCACCACATCCACAAGCAGTATACACTCAGTAGCAATAGTATCTACTATCTACAAGATGTACTGCAATAATTCGCCAAAGATCCTTAGACAGCACCTTCCAAACACACAAACACTTCCATCTAGAAGGGCAAAGGCATCAGATACAAGAGAACATCACAATCTTCATGTTCCCCTCCAAGCCATTCACTATCCTGACTTGGAAATATATCGCTGTTCCTTCACTGTCACTAAGTCAAAATCCTGGAAAGCCCTCCCTAAGGGCATTGTGGGTCACTTGCACTGCAAGTGGACTGCAGTGGTTCAAGAAGGCAGCTCAGCACCAGCTTCTCAAGGGCAAATAGGGACAGGCAATAAATGTTGGCCCAGGCAGTGATGTCCACATCCCCATGAATGAATAAATTTAAAAAAAGACAGGTTATAGATAAAGACGAATGAATGACAGATGGAATTTAATGTGGGGATGTATGAAGTGATTATTTTGGCATGAAGAACTCTGAGAGACAATTAAGTTAATGAGGGGTACAGTTCTAAACGAGCAGAGGGTCTGGGTCAATAGGTACATTGAAGTTGACAGGACAAGTTGAAAGAGTAGTTCATAAGCATACTGCATCCTGGGCTTTATTAATAGGGACACAGATTATAAAAGGAGAGTTATGTTAAACTTATATAAAAGAGTGTCAGCCTCAACTGAAATATTGCATCCAGTTCTGAGCAACACATTATGGGAAGGATGGGAAGGCATTAGACAGCGTGCAGAAAAAGACTCACCAGGATAGTTGCGGGGATGAGGAACTTCGGATATATGGATAGTTTAGAGAAGATCAGACTGTTTTCCTGGGAGAAGAGAAACTGGGACATAGTTTTGATAAGTACATTCAAAATCATGAGTGGTGTGGTCAGAATGGAAGTGGAGAAACAGTGCCAGAGGGAACTATTTTAAGGTAATTGGCAAAAGAAACAATGGAGACATGAGGAAAAACGTTGTCCCACAGTTAGCCTTTCGCAGCTGGAATATGAAAGTATGGTGGGAGCAGATTCAATTGAAGCTGTGAAGAGGAAATTGGATTATTATCTAAAACAGTAGAACATGCAGGGTTACAGGGAGAAAGGGGATTGGGAGTTATAGCAAGCAGTGTGTTTTTCAATCAGAGAGCCAGCGCTGACATTAAAAGCTGAATGACCTTTTTCTCTGCGGTTGCCATTCTTTGATGTTAGATTACAATTTGATTTTCTTCTCATTTTCTACATCACAAAAGTGGCTACACTTAAAAAAACATACTTCACAGAATCACAGACTCATTCATGCTACAGAAGGAGGTCAATTGGGTCATTGGGTCTACACTCTGTCTGCCTGGAGATGTCTAGTCGGACCTATTGCCCTGCTTTACCCCCAATTTCCTTCCAGCGGCATTTAATTTCCTTCCCCGGAGGCAAAGCGCTTGTGAAGGTACTATGGTTGTGAAAGGCGCGAGTTAAATGCAATTCTTTCTTCCGGTTATGTGGCACACTCGGGAAAGGCATGGACCGGCGTCACAACGGCTAGCAGTCTAAAACAGAAAAAGTGCTGGAGAAACTCAGCAGGGCTGGCAGCATTTGTGGAGAGAGAAATAGAATGAATGTTTCGGGTCTGCCTGTTTCTCCCTCCACAGATGATCCAGTCCTGCTGAGTTTCTCCAGCACTTTCTGTGTTTGTTTCAGATTTCCAGTAACCGCAGTATTTTGCTTTTATTGACAGTCATCTGTCTTTGAGTGTTACCTTCATCCAACCTTGACACTGCTAAATCGATAGGACTTTCACTCCAGATCTCATTGCCTGGAATGGCAACATCTAGGTGGTGAGCTTCAACTGGGAGTTTGAGTGGGAAGATGCAACAAAGTTTGGGAAAAGTGACAACGTGTCCCAGGAAATCGAGGGAGAAGCGATTTAGAGAGGGGATGGCTCCACCTATTACTGTGCGAGGGAGAAATGAGCAATTGCAAAAATTATGGATCTCTCAACACGCTGTGTCCAGAGACCTGAAGTAATCAGGCGAACCTACAAAATGATCTGTGCCATTTATTTGGCATTTTGAGCACTGTACTAATGTTATGGCACCACCACAAAACAAACATGGAAATGAATTCAACTTGGCACCACTTAAAAGAGTTGGGGATCTTTGTTACGCTCACCCCTTTTGAAGACTGGTGACCAGAATTTAATACCAATTCAAAACTCTCTTCTCCCCCCAACCCTCTTGAAGACAGAGTTCCAGAGACAGATAAGATGCAGTCCTGAGAAGCACTTTGTCCCCATCACCGCTGTCTCTCTCTCTCTCTCTCTCTCTCTCCTGGCTTTCCCTGTCTCACTTCTGCCTTCTGTTTCCATATGGATTCATCTCTCCCTTTCACCTCTCCATTTCCTCTTTCAGCTGTCCATCTTTCGGTGTGTCTATCCTTCTCTGCTTCTGAGCCTATTTCTCTATCGTTCCTCTCTCAGTCTTTCTAGCCTCTCTGTTCCCTTGTGTGCTTCTCTGTGCCTTACCGGTTCTTGTCCTTTTCTAAAAGAAAACAATAAAATGTTTATCCATACAAAAGCAGAAAGTTTACTGCCAAGAAAAGAGAAGATAATTAAATGCGTTACTGTTTAAAGTTTTATACAGCTTACATGTTATTACACCCGCATTTACAGCATCCTATTTGTTTTCCAGTAAAAATTAAAATGAGCTATATTGCAACAACCACTCTCTCGCCAACTCACTGCTAAAAGCTCAGACATACCTGAAGAAAGTCCACGGAGATTGTGAATGTAGCTTCAAAACTCCGACAGGCGACCAGCCACTTCTCTCAAAGTCTGTTCGTTACAATTGGGATCAATGTGAGCACAAACACACTGGCTTCAGCAGTTTGGAGCTGCCAGGGGAAGTTCTGCATTCTCATTCCATGGCCGTCCCACAAAAGCGAAGCAGCCTTTGGAGCTCTGGTTGTGTTGTAGAGTCGCGGTCAAATTAAATACCTTAGTTGGTTTGAGCAGTTTCCTGTTCACAGGAGCAGGGACCGCAGTGAATATTTGTATAGAATGCACGTCAGCCTTTCTTATTCTGTCTGGAGGAGGCGGGACATCCAGCTGCTATCAATCCTAAAAAAAACACAGCTCCAATCGTCAAGCTACAGCCCACATATTTTGGTCTAAGGCATTCACTCAGGACTCTGTTCATCCCAAGCCCAGAGCCCTATAACTAGTTAACACACCTCATTATTCCAGTTAGATGCTCTCTTCCTGCAGGCGATACTTGAACATATAGCCGTGCTCTCACCTTTCAGTCACTGGGTTCAAGTGTCCCCTCAGAATCTGAGCAAAGGTGACAATCCAGTACAGGAGTGAGAGAGTGCTGCATTGCCTGAGGTACTGTCCTCCAGATTAGATATTTGCCTGAGGCCCCAGCTACCTGCTCGGGTAACTGTTAAACATTGCCTTGCCAGCATTTTTGCAAAAAGTGGCTAAGGCATGGGGGAGGAGGGGATTGGGTGGTCAGTGAGATTTTGTGAGAGCTTGCTGTACATCCCACATCATAAGTGACAATCTTACAAAAGCTGTGAGGCATTTTGAGATGTCTAGTGAATTAGAATTAGATTTTATTGTCGTGTGTATAGGAATAGGGTGCCATATGAATGCAAGTCTTTCATTTTCCTCCCGGAGTCTGTAGCATCTGGAAGAGACAGGAGATGCCAAGAGGTGAACCTTGCTAATTATATCAATGTTGATGGCAGTTTTCCAGAAATGCTCAATCAAAGGGATTCTGAAGAGGAATCAGATTGAAATGTTAACTCTGTTTCTCTGTCCACCGTTGCTGCCAAACCTACAGAGCCTCTCCAATACTTTCAGTTTTTATTTCTGATTTCCAGCATCCACAATATTATGCTTTGAATCAAATGAGGTAGCTGTAGTAGTCTAGTAATCCAGAACTTGAGGCTAATGTTCTGGGGATGTGGGTTTGAACCCCACTACAACACAGACTAAAATTCAAATTAAACAAAAAACTGGTATGAAAAGCTAGCCTAATGCTGACCATGTAATCACTGCTAATTAGGTGCAAAAACCCATCTGGTTCACTAATGTCCTTTAGGGAAGGAAATCTGCCATCCTTACCTGGTCTGGCCTACATGTAACTCCAGACCCACTACAAAATGATTAACTCTGAACTGCCATCTGGGCAATAAATGCTGGTCTAGCCAACCATACAAAATCTCCTTGAAAGAATAAAAATCTTGTCATTAAATCCCTAAAAGCACTGTCAGAAAATGAGATGGCTTATCTCCCCATGATGTTGTAGAAACGATGATACTTGTCACATTAGTGGAGTTTTACCCAACAGAGACCTTCAGTCTAAAAATAAGGGGCAAACCATTCAGGGCTGAGATGCAGAAGAATTTCTCCACTCAAATAGCTGTGAACCTGTGGAATTCTCTCCCACAGAAAGCTGTTGGGGACAGTTTGTTAGATATATTTGAGAGGGAACTAGACATTGCTCTTGCAGCTAAAGGGATCAAGGGGTATGGAGAGAAAGCGGGAGTGGGATACTGAAACTGCATGATCAGCCAAGATCATATTGAATGGTGGCGCTGAATGTCCTACTCCTGCAGCGATTTTCTATGTTTCTATGTTTCACATTGTTAGAAAGGGCCCCAGGTGAATGGACCCCAAGCAATGACACAAATCTTCCATTCTCCAGATAGTCAGCAACTGTCCTCATTGTCACCATCATCAGCAATGTCTGGCCGAGGAGTAGAATTGTCTACTTAGGAAACTCCGTGTCACTGGTTACAGGTTCTCTAAGTCAGCAACCAGACGCGCTCAGAAAGAGATAGTAGGAACTGCAGATGCTGGAGAATCTGAGATAACAAGGTGTAGAGCTGGATGAACACAGCAGGCCAAGCAGCATCAGAGGAGCAGGAAGGCTGACGTTTCGGGCCTAGACTCTTCATCAGAAATTTCTGAAGAAGGGTCTACGCCTGAAACGTCAGGCTTCCTGCTCCTCTGATGCTGCTTGGCCTGCTGCGTTCATCCAGCTTTACACCTTGCACTCAGAAAGATATGTTTTGGGCCTGTTGTAAGTCCCACAATACTGGCTAAGTTGCATGGGAGGTTTAGGCTGGCAATGAGCAGTAAACTGGCATTTGCAAACCTTCCAATAAAGTACACAACTCAAAGTCACAGGTCAATATCCATAGCAGATGTCACTGTGGGAGGTCCAGTGAGAAATGAGAGGGGACAGAGGGTTCAGTTTAGTCAGAAATTAGAGAAGGTTTAGTTCCTCTAACATTTCCTGTCCAACTATTAAGTTCAGAAGAAAAGTCATACTGGACTGAAAGCATTAACTCTGCTTCTCTCTCTTTATAGATGCTGCCAGACCTGTTGAGATTCCCTAGCAGTCTCCATGTTTGTTTCAACTATTAAGCTAAGCGAGTCAGAACTTCCCATTTTCCCCATAACCCAACAGGAATTCGGCACCACAGCCCACCTATTGACATCTGATCTCCCCACCACCATGAACACTCAACTGGCTCCTACCTTGTGCCCACTGCCAGGCCATCTAAGTCCTCACCGGCCACATAGCCACCCCAAACTCTCAGTCATTACCTGCCATCTGTAAATGTCTTACCCAACATGCAGCACTAACCTGCTACCCTACTGCCTCATCCAACAATCTTCCAACCTATCCCTTCACCCACCAATTTACACCCTCAACCATGTGTCTTCCTATCCCTTCATCTTCTTGCCATCTCACCACCATCCCCACCTACCCTCCGTACCCCCTCAGCCATCTGCCAACCTATCCCCCCATTCACTTGACACCATCCTCCATCACTCACCTGACACCCTAACTCCCCAACTACCTAACACTCTACTCACTCACCACCCTAACACCCCAACTCCATACCTACCCACCTGGGTCCTTGGTCCCTCACCACCTGGCACTGTATCCCCTTACGTACCCACTTGCACATACTACATCTCTACAACTTACATAACAAGCTCACCTTCTCTCATTTACTGCCAAAACATTTCTTCACTAGCCGCAACCTGTTGGACAAGATTCCTGATTATCTCTGATAAAAAAAACACATCCAAAGACCTCACCTAGATAACCTGCACTTATGTCTTAGTTCTTCTCAACTAATGAACATTGAAACATGGCGCACAAAATTGAAATATCAAAAAAATTCTCCTACCAACCACTGTACAAACCTGCTTGAATTCCTAGTACTGCTTCTACCTGTAACTTTGTACACAGATAGTATGCTTGATATGATGGTGAAGCTGCATGTTTTCAACACATTGACTCTTGAATTATCTATGGAGGCTTGTCACTAATTTCCTTGCAATTCCTTAATGCCACACTCAGCAATGTTGCAGATGACTGGAATGTAATGGCTTCACCTGAAGCTTGACTGTAATAATGGGATTCTATTGGAGAATATTTCAGATTGAAACTAATTTGCATTTATCTCAACTTGTTGATACGGATCATGGTGTTCTGGCTTTAATTACTCACCAGTGGTTCGCCATATGAACCCTTGCCAAGCCCTGGGGCCCAGAAAACTAAGTGGAGCTTAGCATTAATAAGAAATCTGGAAAGAAATAAAAAAAGTGCTTGCATCTGTGTAGCACATCTTTGATGAATTCAGAGTGTGTTACAGTCAATTAAGTCCTTTGACGTCACTTGTTTGTTTTTATTTTAAAAATATACTTTATTCATAAAAATATCTTTATGTACATACATTGTCGGTGAAGCAGTTCAGTTCTATACAGTAGCATATGGAGAAACAAACACTGGAGCTTGACTCTATCCAGCAAATAAACCAAAGGCATTTCTTAATTGTACAAGATAATATTTACATATAACTGAGACATTAGCAGGGTCTGATAACTGAACAGACCACGATTTAACTTCAGCTGAAAGACCTAATTGGTCCCACCTCAATGTGCTATGGTGGTAGTTGCCCCAAGCTTTACTGCGTTCCTCAGCACGTAATCCTGGACTTTGGAAAGTGACAGTTTGCAACACTAGATTGAGGTCAACTTCAACATGATTTGGGCAGACCAAAGAGCATCTTTCACTGAGTTGATGGTCCTCCAGGCGCAGTCAATGTTTGCCTTGGGAAACAGACCATAGAGCACAGAGTCCTGCGTCACAGAGAAGTTCAGGACTACGAACATTAACAAAAGAACAACACTACATCATCCTCCAGCCTTCCTTTGCAAAAGCAGATTCCAGCAGGAGATGTGTAACAGTCTCTACGTCCTGCAGCTGCTTTGCAGTGGAGCAGACCGACCGTGTAGGATCTGATGGGCAGATCCTTCACACCACCAGCAAAGTGATATCTTGGTGTTTACTGGGAAGTTCTGGCAATGAGGCATTCTGCCAAATGACTTTGACAGTCTGTTCCGGGAACAACCTGACAGGATCCACCCTCTCCTTTTCCCAAAGGCTCTCGCAGACATTATGTACTGACCATCCTGATGGACTTGTGGTCAAAGGTGGCCATCAGGATGAGGGCAATATTGGGTGCATTCTTCCCTCCCCATTATCCAGAGTTTAGTACATGGTGTCCCTGTGGACACGGTCCATGTTAGACCTCCAGATGAAGTGGAAGATGGCTTGGGTGGCTGCAACGGCACAGATTCTGGGAATGGGCCAGACCTGCGCCACGTACAACAACAGACAGAGTGCATCATACCTGATGATCAGGTTTTTACTTGCAATGGAGAGGGAGTCATGCTCACAGATGCCCAGCTTCTGCTTCAATTTGGTGATATGCTCCTCCCCCAGGTTTTTGTGCACACCCCAGCCCCTCCGAACCATATTCCCAGCATCTTCTGGTAATCTGACCTGACAGTGAAGGGATAAAGGATTGATCAGCTCAGTTCCTAAAGACCATGGCCTCACTCTTGCCTCGATTTACCTTGGCTCCTGAGGCCAGTTCAAACTGGTCACAGATGCTCATGTGTCTGCTCACTGACAGCGGATCCGAGCAGATAATGGCAACGCCA